AATAGAACTTCTATTAAAAGTTTTAGCTACATCAAAGGACACTTAAACCAGCACATTGTCTCAGTGGTTGGTTGGTCTTTAAAAGTAGATACTTGGATTTAATTGGTTGAAAGTTTTATTTCCCTTTATGAGTTAAAACATTTTTCCATTTCCCCAATTTTGCCGACCGTTCAAAAAAAAAAAAAAATGAAGACACCTAACTTCTGGATTTCCTTAATTAAGGTATTTAACTTTGTAAATTTATCATCAAGGTATAAAATAGATATGAAGGATGGAGCAGTGACACTTTTTTTTTTTTTTCTATTTACCGTTAAAGTATCTCTCTATCAACTTTCATGTATGTCAAAACTAATCCTTCTCTAGATAATTTTAAAAACACAACTTATATCAACCTAATATATTTAAAAAATTAATTTCTTTATATGTTAGTCTTAATATTTGAATTTTAGATTTGGCATACAAGACACTTATGACTAATGATAGGATCAATCTCGGGCTTGGTTACACTGTTAGTGAACCATATATTTTGCTGACATGTTTTAAAATCCATGCTAAACTTGATAGCCCAAAAAAAATAATAAAATCGATGCTCAACTTGAAATTAAACAACTTGCTTAAAACAAGTTTGTTAAAAAGTTCTACCAAACAATCCTAAATATGTTAAATCGAGTTGAATTTTTTAAAACTTGAACTCAATTTCAAGGATACAATAATGGGAACTTTTTGTTGCATTCAATCGTGTTGAACTTGAATTCAATAGTCCTCGACGAACTTGAGCCCAACTCACAAGTTTGATCAATTATTATATTGTAAATCAAACTTGATAGATCAAACTTGATATGACTCAATTTTTTTAATTTAATTTTGACCTAAAACTCAAATTCGAATTGAGTCTAGTTCAAGTTTGAATTGAATAACTTATAAATAACACAACTTATTTGTAACCCTAATTATCATATGTGAAGAATTTGCAAATGAATTTAAAATACCTATTAAAGCATTTTTTCGGACATTTAAAGCAGCTATATCTTTTTTTTTTTGATAAATTGAAGAGATTCATAACGAACTTAAGGTCTTTGTATATATCAAAATACCTCTTATTATTATTACTAATTAAAAAAATTCACGTAAAAAAGGGGAGGGGGAAGAAGATTTTGTTTTATGAAAAAAAATTCCTTCATTTCAGTTATTTTTCAAGAGAAAAACGAAGAAAACAGGGGGTCCGTTGAATTTCAAATAGTCAATTTCACCAATAAGATAAGAAGACTTACTTCACATTTGGAATTGCATATTCTCTTCACAACCAAAAATAATGAGTTGGGAGAATCTTATCACATTGTTTGATCTTGAATGATCACATGACCTTTTCCTATTTGCATACTGGTAGTATTGAGGCAGCATCTTTGTTCTTATCATTTTCAAGGTAAAGCTTTAATTTAATCAAACTTGTATTGAAATTTTAGTAAGGGATGAGGATATGAAGTGCATCTCGAATCCTTACAAACTTCGCACTAAACTTTTTGTTTAGTGGTGGTAGGTATCCAATCCTCCCACTAAACTGGGGGTCTAATTCCAATTTTGGCACATCAACAACAGCGGATTTCATTAAAAACCTAGGGATATTATAGAAGGATCTAGGAAAGGCAATGGAAGCTGAATAGAGATGGCTGAATTGGACTAGCAAATCACCAAAATGTAACAAAGTTCAGGGTGTAGTTATGCCACACAACACTTTCCGTTAAGGTTACATAAGTTTTCTTTGGTTTAAATGATATTTTTAATTTGTTTAATAATTAATTATGATATTTAAAATTATCAATTTATATATTAATTTTAATTTATTAAGTAATATATATTATTTTATTTAATAATTAAACTAAATTAAATTAATATTTTTTAAATAATATTATGTAATCTTATTAAATTACTTTATAACCATAATATTTTTTTTAAAACAAAAGTAATTGAGAAAAATGAGAATAAAAAAATTATTAATGCAACGATTAAAACTTTAATATTTGTCAAGAGTTGAGTGCATCCCACCAATGCAATCAAAACAAAACTGTGAGTGCTAATTTATAACCATAATAACGCCACAAAATTGACTGTCATTCGTATCACACAATTAAGCTCAAGACGTACAAATCCGATCCAAACTGATGGGACCAAACTAATCCAACACAATTATAATGATTTCTTTGAAAACACTTTCTTATAATCATTGCTTACTGCCTGACATATCATATCAATGTATCTGTTAATTCACTTGGTTTTTATTTGGTTTTGATTTTTTAACAACGAAAATTTACAACAAAACTTCAAATATTAATATAATACTAAATAAATATATATAATATTATTTATTCCATCCAAATTAAAAATTCAAGGTGGAATCAAGGTCAGGTAAAATGCCAGCACTTGTAAGCAATGGTTGTAAGAAATGATTGTCCAAAAATCATTTCCGTTTAACTGATTAACTTTTAAGTTATATTTAATTGATACTAATGAATATTTATTAACCAAACTATAAAACTAAATTAAATTTAAAAAACTTCTTTTGAAACTGAGAATAGTTAAGCCTTAATTATAATAATTTTTGTATTAAACTAAAAGATAAATGAGTCTATATATTCCTTTTATTGTTTAAGAAATATGTATTCTTGATTCTTTATTTATTATTCTTAATTTTTTACCAAACTTTTAAAGTATTAACTTATTTTTTATAAAATAATAATTAAAAAATTTCTTCTCACCCATAATCAAATCTTATCCTTCAATATAAATTCTAATGTATAACTCAAATGATCATTGTGTGAATTTTCATTCATACCATTGGAGATTTAGAGTTCGATTCCTCTTATCTCATCCACTCCACTACCCCCAATTTCCTTAGTTCAAAAAGAAAGAAAGAAAAAAAAAACAAATTCTTGTCCCTCAATATCGAAATATAATAGAAATATTAAGTGGCCTTTTAAGGTTTGTTTATTTTCTTGGTTGTTGTTTTTTTCATTTTTTGCTTCTTTTGTTTTTTATTCGACTACCTTCCTTGAAACGTTGTCGTTTAATCCTAGGACCCTATTTCCTCTCATCTCTTGTTCTCATGTCTTGCAGTCCTCGAAACCGCAGTACGCACCTCGCAGCCTCTCTGCTTTTCCTGAGCTCCCTTACCCTGTTCAGTTGACTGGTAAATAATGCATCTCTATTTGTTTTTTTTTTTCTTTTTTGTTTGGCTTAACCCCCTGCCTCCTTTACTTCCTCTTCTGGGTATCTTTGAAACCGCAAAAGATTTTGAATTTCTGGTTAAATTCTGCTGCTTTGAATCAAAATTTTGAAACCCATGTTGCTGTTGTAATGATTGAAATTATTTTCTATTTTTGAAAACCATATAATTTCCTTTCATTTCCCTCTTTATTATACGGCTTGATTCTTCTTTTTTTCTTTTTCTTTTTTTTTTTTTTGATAATTTAGATTGTTCCTTCCTGGATACCTCATGGTTTCAAGAAGAAATCAGCAGTGTAACTGCTGTGCTAGAAGTTTTTAATTGCTTTTCATTGATTTGGTGATTATGTTTGGTTTGTTCTGCATGGTAATGGTTAGAATCACATAGGTTCTTAAATAAAGGTATATCACAAATGATGATATTGATTTTATCCCCCTCCATTAGTTATGTCGTTGTTCATGGTCATAATGTTGTTTTTTCATCAAGAATTAGCTTGCACTGATGGAGGTTGGCGAACTATGTGACTTGTTTCTTATTCTTTTTGGTTTGCTAATAAATTCGTAGCTTTTGCAGATGAAAATTGCAAAAAAATCTTCATCAATAATCTCATACTTTCATGTATCTAAGGTTAAACTTGGGCTCATTTACATGTATTTATCTTCCATAATCTCTTTCTCTAATTCTGCTGGATATTGTGTCTTCCAAATTGTTGATGGAGTTCTTAGGATTGAATTGTTTTTCATGTTATGTCAATGACCAGGGCAAAGAGAAGTTGAATTGCTTAGAATTGAAACCAAAATCCCTAAGAAACAGTAATTTCATTTGGATTCAGTTTGGTGCAAGGTGAAGGCTGCAACAGTGAACAGATGATGGCTCCAGATAGTGGCAAGAGAAGGCAGAGACCAAATAAACTTGTGACGGGCACTCCTGGAACTGGCAAAACAACTACGTCAACTGCCCTGGCAGAGGCCACTCAGCTCCGCCACCTGAATATTGGTGATTTGGTTAAGGAGAAGAACTTGCATGACGGCTGGGACAATGATCTCCAATGCCACATCATCAATGAGGACCTGGTAACTTCTTAATCTTCTTCAATCTTAACACCCAATTTGATAACTCTTCAGGAATGGATGTTAATATCATAAAAAATGTATGTTTATGATGTAAACTGAAAAAAGAAGAAGAAGTATTTTAGCATGCAGAATTGCTTGAATTGATTGATTCTTTTGATCAGATTGATTGGCAGGCAATAGCCTTATGCATATCACCTTCATGGGAACTGAATAGGAGAATGTGAAAACTAATATCCTAGCAATTTTGCACTTAATTGTGATGCATCATCATCTTTCAGGTATGTGATGAAATTGAGGATGTGATGGAAGAAGGGGGGAACATTGTGGACTATCATGGCTGCGATTTCTTCCCAGAGAGATGGTTCGACCTCGTGGTGGTTCTTCAGACTGACAACTCAGTATTATATGATCGCTTGACTAAGAGGTAATGTACCCTCTAGATGTATGTGAACTTGACTTCATTTGCTTACCTTGTCTCACGGGGTGGTTTCATTTTAGAGGGTACGAAGGAAGCAAACTTTCCAATAACATAGAATCTGAAATATTCCAAGTTTTGCTTGAGGAGGCTAAAGAAAGTTATCCGGAAAATATTGTTATGGCTATGAAGAGTGACAATGTTGATGATATCAGTAGAAACGTTTCAACTTTGACGGATTGGGTCAGGAATTGGCATCCCCCATCCTGATTCCATGTCCTGTTCTTCCTAGTTGTTATTGCTTTATATTAGATGATACCAGTAAAAGCTTGATTTCTTATGTGTGCACTTCTCTGTAAGTATACCTTCAGCAATTTCTTTTCTACCTTCGGTACTAATGTACTACTGTGAAATCGGTCAGGCTTTCAAATTTTCATTATCTAGTCTTGTGTGGAGATGTCCGGAGCTTATAGTAATTTTCTATGGTGAAATCAGTTAGTTTGTTTAATTTCATTTTCTAGTGTTGGAATGATCTTTTTGCTGCAAAAGCCCAAGTTGAATCCAAAAACAGTTTTCTGAATGAACTTATGGATTCTTGAATTTAATGGAGAACTTCTTGAAGCTATAATGTCTTCTTATCAAAGATTTAAGTTCTTTCTTTCTATGACAAACACAAAAAATTGATAATTTCATGTGTTCGAGCAGAATTTGTCCATGTCAAGCTTGATCAAATGTCCGAGCTCTCTAGGTCAAGTCGTAACTGTGTCTTCAGGTCACTTGCAAAACCCAAGGATGGTTTTTCGTGTCAACTCTAGAGAAAGAAGCTGTAATAGAAAATGTTTAAGAGTAATTACTTTCTTTGATGGTGGTTGTGAAATATTTTTAACTTCATTTATGACACTCTACAACTGACGATTCACTTATTCCGATATGAGTTGTTCTTTGAGACTCATTTTCACACTAGATTGGCCTTGGGCTTAAGGGCGCCATTATTTGGTGTTAAGTCACTATTCCAACATCACAATAAAATTTGTTGGTAAACATAGTATTCACACCTACAACCTAACGAGTGCTAAGTGCACCTGCATACCACACGATCCACGGTAACAAACTTGTGTTCATCACTTGGCGACAGATTGAGTTTTCAGGTTTTCCGGTAAATATATAATGGAAAATGAAATTAGGCATAAACTATAAATGCTGACAGTCCTAGTGAAAATTGATTGGTGTTTCTGCATTTGTGGATCAAAATTTTCTTGATATGATGTGGATGAGAATTCAGAACACATTTTGCAATGTTGTTGGCTCCAATGGTTCCACGCTATGCTTATCGTGACAGCAGATGGAAAAAGGTACCAAACCCTCTTAAATTCCCCAGCAACTTCCGTGCTCTAATTTCCTATAAATAAACTATTGTCTGAACTAGACCATAATCTCTCTATACATTTGACTATTATATGTGGTGTGTGTGCACACGCGTGTAAGATAGACAGGTGAAATTCTGACACAAGAATGAAGTACAAGGCTGTCACTCCTAGACAAGATGAGGTTACCAGGGAATCAGAACCCTGCAAGCCAAGCCAATGTGTCATTTATCCGGTGAATTCAGATATGATAGCTGAGGATGTGGAAAGAATAAACAAGAACTGGTTAATCATTTCTCTCCTTACATGTAGACGTGAATGTTACTGAGATTCTAAACTGATATGTTTTTTTTTTTTTTAATGTTGATAGTTACTTGATATTGCAGGATTGTTTGGACAAAAGCTACTAAGGATTTGATTGTGCAAGTTGGAGATTATAGCTTCCACTTACATAAGGTGAAGTTCATGTGTTTGTTTTGTGTCTATTTTGATCACTAGAAAATCTGTCTTGATGCATTAGATAAGTTCTGTTCATAACTTTCGGTTTTTAAGCGTAGAATTTTTTGTTCTTCAGCTTCCCATGGTGTCGCGAAGTGGGTATTTGAATAGGCTTGTGTTTGAAAGAAGAAATGGATCAGAGAAAGGAAGCAACCAGAAGATCCGGCTTGAAAACTTTCCTGGGGGAAGCGACACTTTTGAACTAGTGGCGAAATTCTGTTATAGATGGAAGATTGATGTCACAGCAGAGAATATTGCTCCATTACACTGTGCTGCACATTTCTTGGAAATGAGTGATGATCTTGAATCAGGAAATCTCATTTCAAAAACGGAGGCCTTCATCAGTTATGTAATATTCTCGTCATGGAAAGGCACATTTCAGATTCTGAAGAGTTGTGAATCTTTATCTTTCTGGGCCAAAGAACTGCAAATCCTGAAACAGTGTTCAGATGCCATCGCTTGCAAGGTCTGCACAGAGCCAAAAGCATCAGTTTTTGTAGACACTGGAAAGGTTGAGGAAATGGCTGAGAATTGGTGGTTTGAAGATGTTTCAGCTCTCCGTATAGATCATTTTATTGAAGTGATTGAATCCATTAAGAGACGAGGGATGAAATCAGAACTTGTGGGGTCATGCATAGAGCTTTGGACGTCAAGGTGGCTATCTAGAGTTAACAATGAACTTGAAAATGAGATCCCAAGTCATCTCAACCAGCAGTTGCAAAGAGTGACAGTAGAAAGTTTGATCAGGGTACTTCCAGTGGAGGAATATTCAGTTTCTTGCAATTTCCTACTTCAGCTGGTCAAGCTGGGGCTCTTGAAGAAAATTAACCTTGAATTATTGAATCAGATTGGGAAAAGAATAGTTTCCATGCTGGAGCAATGCCAGGTTCAGGATCTGTTGGTTAAGAATGATGTGGATGATGATACAACTTATGATGTGAGGATTGTTATTAGGGTGGTCGAGTGCTATGCTATGCTTGCTATAAAGCATCCAGCTCCAAGAATACATGCTGTTGGAAGGCTGCTGGATGGATATCTCACTTTAATTGCGCAGGATAAGTACCTTACAGTTAAAGGTTTCCGGTCTCTTGCTGAAGCATTGCCAAAAAGTGCTCGATTTTGTGACGACAACCTTTACAGAGCTATAGACATGTACCTCAAGGTATGAAAACTCAAAAATTAAGTATATGCTATGCTAGAAGGAATTCCTAAATTTTGCCTAACTTTTTCTTTTTCTCCTCGAATCTTGCAGGCACACCCTTTATTAGAGGAAGAGGACAGGACAAGTGTCTGTAGGGCAATGGACTACAATAAACTATCACAAGAAGCGCGACAGCATGTAATGAAGAATAACCGGTTGCCATTACAGATTACAACACAGGCTATGCTTCTTGAACAAGTACACTCGACAAGATCAATAATGACAGGTTTCGGTTCAAATTACCGAAGGACCAAGGCACAGACAATTATCAGAGTGAGTAAAGGTCTGGAGAAGGAACAGATGACATCCATGAAAGAGATCAAGATGATGAGAAAAGAGGTCGAGACTATGAAGATGCAACTCAATAAACTGCAAATGTGTAAAATGAAGATTCAGAAACAGATGGGAAAATGCATTAAGTAGGATATCAAATCTGATTCTCTCTGAAATTCTAACACTGTTGGATTAGATCTGAGTTTAATGTTGATGATGGCAAATTTCTTTGTTGGACTGGCACTATCAGTTACCAAGAAATAAAGAAATTAATTCCATACATGGTGATAAACATAGCCAAAAGTTGCACATGTAAAATAAGTTATAAAACACATAAATGACAGACATGATAAATAGCAGACTCCAGTATTCAGTTCCTTTGAACGCCTCCAGAATTCATATCAGCTGGTGAATTATATTGGAAAAAGGATCTTATACATTTTTCTGATATGAATGATTAATTGGGGGGCTTCATCGATATTGAAACTCTTGAATCATAGACTTTGAGGGACAATCATCTATCTCATAGAGTTCTTTAATATGCTGAGACATCCAGCTCTCATCTAGGATGGTAAAGTGTTCCTGGCAATTTAACAATTCAAGTTTTTATAAAATCAGTGGGAGTAAGATTTTTTTTGCCTGAGGTCTTTATAGTTAGTAAACCTCTACAATTGTACCAGCAGAATTCATTTATGCCATTGTAAGGTTCCGTAGTAAGGCAGATTTTTCTGCCTGGGACTTGTGATGTTTCTTTTACTGCTTGTTGCTCCTCTCAAACTACAAATAGATCCAACTACATTGTACCTTTTTCATGCTCGCGCTTCCAGCTTGCTGTCAATTGTTGGAGCATTTCAATTCGGTCCGTTTTTTGTTGCATCCCCAAGACACAAAAAATCGTTATATTCTTTGTAGTCAGAAATGTTTAACGTACTGATGCTATTTACACGTGCGCATACCATTAGGGATGCACCATGACCTTCCTGTGCCAATAATGTCTTCGCTGGCCAAACATGGTTCGGATTCATTGCTGCTGAATCTTGTTCAGACTATATGACTGTGACACCCCTAAGAAAATTCCACATTGATAAAGTTGGGTATAGGTCGATAACCATTAATCCCATGTATTTTAAAACTGCGAAACCCAATGAACCAGTGCGGAGGTTGGGTTGTTACAATAACACTCTCTAACAAGCAGGTGAAATTGCTTAACTAAAGCTAAGCTGCTTCTGCTATTTATTGTAAGTTTCATTTTCCTTTGGGATTATTAGTCAAATGAAGCCTGCTCATGATGCTGGCTATACTGCGTGAGTAATTTCAATTGCACACAATTTTTAAGAATGTCACCAAGTTGAAAAGATGGTAAAACCCCTAAATCCGTCCCTTAAATAGAAGAATGCCTCTAAAATATGTAGGAATAAATTGTTCTTTTAAATTATTAATCAAGACAAATCAATCATTATTTTCCATATGATGTTATTGCATGTCAAAAATCTATTTTCCACCTAAGTATTTTTTAACGAAAAGTTAATGTGTGAAGATATTATACGTTAAATAATAGATAATTTATCTTAATTAATAATTTAGAGGGACAATTTGTCCATGTATTTTTTTGAATGCTGAATGTGTCCCTTCTCTTCTATAAGGGATAGATTTAGGGTTTTACCCTGAAAAGATCGCAATTGATAGAGGTTTTTTTTTTCTTCTTCTTCTTTTTCCTTTTTTCGGCCCAAACATGATGACAATAGATACAGATATTGTCATGGAAAGAATATGAAAGGTAGGGAATGAAAGAAATTTGGTTTTAGCACTAATTCTTATGAATCACACAAATTAGGTAAAAAGGTGAACAGGCAAATCTTGTTCGTTGCTCCATTTTTAAGCTGAAAAATACTATTCCTTGATCTCTATGTAATTTTAGAAGTAACATGCTCCAAATCATATATTAGAATTATGTTTAACAATTTAAGAAGTTGGAGGAAACTAAGATAAGTAAAAGTAAATTACTTGTTCACACAAAAACCATATCTTAAACAAGTACCACATTCTGTCATTGTCTTTGTTTTTCTTCTTTTTCGGGTTAAAACTACAGTGTGACCAAAAGTGACTCGTTCTTTTTGTTTTTCACTTTTTTTGAGTTAAAACCATGGGGTGATCATGGGGTATTTATATCCAATTTAATCCAATTGATCTCATCCAAACATAATCAATCTAATTAAAAATTAAGCCAAACCGATATAAAATTATGTTGATTTGAATTATAAAATTAGTGAATCATGCAAATTACCCCTTTGTGAGAAAACAAGGTATGAGAGAAAAATATGAAGAAAAATGATACTTTTTCTTAATTCATTTGAATATACAAAGTGCCTATTTTTAGGCTTGTACAAGAGAATATTCTGTAGTACAAAATCATTTAATCTAATTATGTAAATTAATTATAATGTGAATATAATCATAGCAATGTGAACATAATCAAGAGAGAATATTCTGTAATATCCCCTCTCAAACTCAAGGTGGTGATAAGGAGATCAGCTTAAGTTTGGAAAGAAGAGTGCAAAAGCATCCAAGAAAATGAACCTTACTAGAGATCCGCAAGCTAATCAACAGAGCCAATAAAGACTAGATGGATAGTTCCTTTTGCAACATGATATCGAATAAAATGACAATCGACCTCAATATGTTTTGTGCATTCATGAAAAACATCATTGTAAGCAATCTACATATCACTTTGATTGCCACAGTAAAGATCA